AACAACAACAACAAACCCCAATCAAGTCAGGGGTGGTGATTCAAGTCTGTAATATCAGCTACTCAGGAGGTGGAGATCAGAAGGACTGACTGCAGTTGGAGGCCGGCTCAGGCAAAAAGCTCTTGAGACCCCATCTCAACCAATGGCTGAGAATGGTGGTATATACCTGTCATCCCAGCTATATAGGGAAGCACAAATAGGAGGATAGCAGTCCAGGACCACCTGGGCAAAAAGCAAGACCCTATCTCAAAAATAACCAAGGCAAAAATAGCTGATGGAGTGGCTCAAGTGGTAGAGCACTTGCCCTGTAAGTATGTGGCTCTGATTTCAATCCTCAGCATCAAAGAAAAAATCTCTGTAATGTACATACACCACTGATAGCTCAGCAGAACCTAATTGTGTGTTCTTTCCTCCCCACCACAGTACCTTTAGGATCCAGTTGTGCCCATATTCCTCATGCTTTTTCTCATTTATGTAAGCCTCGTGTGTTTGGTGTGTTGTGTTGTGTTGTGTACAATATCTCCTCTTGGTCACACTCTGTGCCGGTCTCCTGGGATATTCTGGAATCTGCTCTCCTAGTAGACCTGGAAACCCTGAAGGATGGAGGAGAGGAATTTGCTGCCCAGGGAAAAAAGGATTAGACCCACCAGGTGGGGGTCAGGGGAAGGCCTGCTTCCATTTGCATAGGGGTCTCGTTGGATTTTGGATTTTGGGGTAGGAGACATCTTTGGGAATAGGAGACAGCAGAGCCATATGCATGCCCTCAGACATCCCCATGTCAGTCTCGAAGCACAGCTCTGTCATTCTGTCCATCTGACTGGATAGTGAGTGCAGGTTACACAGCAATTATATTACAAACCAGCGCCCGCAGGACCGGCTGTTCAGTTTTCGGCTAGCAAGCCTGATGGCTACAAGAGATGACACATATTTATTTATTTATTTATTTTTAGCTTAGTCAGGAGTTGTTCCAGATTCTCTGACCCTGTCTTGAGCTGAGAATTTAGACCCTAAGTCTTTCCTTTGCAAAGGTCTTAATAGTACCATTTTTTCCATTGTTGTTGTTTTTTGGCTGTGCTGGGGTTTGAACTCAGGGCCTCATGCTTGTTAGGCAGGCACTCTACAACTTGAGCCACTTTGCCAGCCCGTGAGAAGGTCTTAGTGAAATTATAAACAGCTCTGAGAACCTTTGTTCCCAGCGTTAACAGCCAAAGGGACCAACCACTGCAACTGCCAACACCTTGTCTTCCTTAGGTCTTTTTCCCAGACAACAACACTTTCTGTAACAAGTGACAACTTCTCCAATGATTTTTCTCCCTATGTAAAACTGCTTAGCTATGTGTCACCTGTGAATCCTTGAGAGCCAACTGCTGCTCAATTCTCTCTCCTTTCTTCCCTTGCTGGGAATGGAACCCAAGTTAGCATGGAACACATGCTTGGCAAGTGATCTACTACGAAGTTACATCCCCAAACCCTGGATTTTTTTAATTAAAATTTTCATTTTGAAATCACTGTAGGTTTCCATGTAATTGTAAAAAATAATACAGAGATTCCCCTGTACCCTTTACTCAGTTTCCTCTCATGGTAATAATTTGTAAAACTACAGTACAATATTACAACCGGGATATTGACGTTGAGTTAGCCAGGTACAGAGCAATTCCATCATCGTAATAACCCTCGTGTTGTTTCCAGGCTTCTAAGCAGAGAGAGATTTTTTTTTTTTTGGCGGACTTGGGTTTGAACTCAGGACTTCATACTTGTAAAGCAGGCACTCTACCGCTTGAGCCACATCTCCAGTCCATTTTGCTCTGGCTGTTATGGAAATGGGGTCTCACAAACTATTTGCCTTGACTAGCCTTGAACTGTGATCCTCTCTATTTCAGCCTCCCAAGTAGCTAGGATTACAAGCATGAGCTTGTAATCAAGGGTGCTGGCTCCTTCCAATAATTTTATACACACTTCATGTTTTGTTTTAATCTTTCTCTGCTGCTGGGCACCCGTGGCTCCTGCCTATAATTCTAGCTACTTAGGAGCTACTCAGGAGGCAGAGATCAGGAGGATCGAGGTTTGAAGCCAGCCCTGGGCAAATAATTTGTGAGACCCTACCTTGAAAAAACCCTACACAAAACAGGGTTGGCGGAGTGGTTTAAGTGGTAGAGCGCCTGCCTAGCAAGCATGAGGCCCTGAGTTCAAACCCTGGTAATGCAACAGAGAGAGAGAGAGACAGAACAAATCACCACTCAGCATTAGTGGCTCATGCAATCTTAGGTATTCAGAAGGCAGAGATCAGGAGATGGTGGTTTGAAGATATTTGAAGATAGCCCTGGGCAAATAGTTCTCGAGATCATATCTCAACAATACCCAATACACACACACACACACACACACACACACACACACACACACACACACATACACACACGTACACAGAGATGCCTGGATCTTGGTTTGGAGAGTCTGATGATGCACTGGGATGCTGATTGTAGCTGTCAGAACTGCCCAGATGTTTCTGGACATTCAAGTACTGCTACATCAGCATGGCCTTGGCTGCTGGTGGGTATCAGCCAGGTGCAGCAGATGAAGGAACTAAGGCCACACATGCCAGACTGGAATACTGTCTAGTTCAAGATGAACTCAATTGAGGAAGTATAACTTCAGAAAGGGCCATATGGCCTGTCTTTTCCTACTTGCAGAACACCATGAAGATTTTTTTTGTGAGGGATGTCCTTCACATGTCAAGGTTGGAAAATGACTTGACCACCAGAAACTGACCATTGGGGCTGCAGTGAACCTGAATAAAAAACCTCCAACCCTTTTCTCCCATGAGCTTCTAAATCTTCCAACACACACACACACACACACACACACACACACACACAATCTTAGTAACATCCTAGAACTTACAGCCCTATTTCAGAGATCCAGCTATCCTGCCATTCCTTCACAAATCGTTCTTTGTCTGAAAAGCATAAAAGCATCATACCTTGTTCATTTCTTAGGACTTTACTCTTTTGTGAAGATCCCTATCTACACTCCAATTTAATAAATACTTTTATGCTTTTCTCTTGTTTATCAGTTCTTAGGTTGGAGATCCTAGACCCAGCTGAAGAGCTCATTTAAGAACTAAGGGGAATGGGAGTAGGGGGTGTCTCTCCCATAATTAGGACTATGGCGACTGCCTCACTTCCACTTTCCAAATCTCACTCATTGGCAGAACCCATCTATACCTGGCATTGAATTGGAGCTGAATCTGGGAAATAAAATTTTAGCTTTTTAGATTCTGAAAAGAATGGATGCTGAGTTCTGATTGACCACACCCAACACAGACATATGGAGATTTGTACACTTAATAATGGGAAGGTAAGAGAGTTCCTATCAAGCCTATTACTATTTTCCCCATAAAAAAAGGTAAAACACAAGTGTAGGCGAGGATGTGGAAAGAACTCGAACTCTTGAATGTGAAGTGGTGCAGCTGCTAAGGAAAAGAGTATGAAAATTCCTCAAAAGCAGGGCAGTGCCAGTGGCTCACACCTGTAATTCTAGCTGCTCGGGAGGCAGAGATCAGGAGGACTGCAGTTCGAAGTCAGTCCCAGGGAAATAGTTTGTGAGACCCTATCTCAAAAACACCCAACACACCCACAAAAAAAAAAAAAAAAAAGGCTGGTGAAGTGGCTCAAGCAGTAGAGCGCCTGCCTGCCTAGCAAGTGTGAGGCCATGAGCTCAACCCTCATACCATCAAAAAAAATTTTTTAAAAAGAAAGAAAAAGAAATCCTGCAATGTTCAACAATGATAAACCTGAAGGGTGAAGTTTCTATAAACGGTCGGACTCATAGGACTGTAGAATTGTGATTGCCATGGGTTACGGAGAGGGGGAAATAGAGACTGCTAATCAATGGGCATAGAGTCGCACTTAATGTCAGATGTATAAATTCTAGACATCTGCTGTATAACCTCGGGTCTACAGAGTACTGTGCATTTAAACATTTGTTAATAGGACAGAGCTCAGGTTAAATGCTCTTACCACAGTAAAAATACTTTAAAGGTGATGTCAAGTACTGTGCTTTGTAGTTTCTCTAGTTATTGTGAAGAGAGTAGTGAGATGGTTGGCCTGACATTTGTCCTAATTCCACTTAAGTGGTCATGAAATTGTAGGGGACAGTTTGCCCCATTGGGTACTTTTTCCAATGGTAATTGGCTGTTTGGGGACAGGCAAAAGGAAAAGGGACAGCTGGCGTCATGCAGACTCAGAATACTTACCAAATCCGTGTGACAATACAAGGAAGCGTAAGAGTTTACTGTGCTGCTGAGGCTATTAAAGTAATGGAAAATAAACAGAACCAGAAGGTAAAAAGGAGGAAGTCCACAAACTGAGGAAGAAGTCAATATACAAGTACCGAAAAGGTTTGGAAAGAGGCCAGAGGGGTGTGGGGGCCTGTAGACAACCGTCTTCAGACAACTGCATGCACGCCCAGGCTAATCCTGATCTACCTAAACAGAGAGGGATGGTCGGTTTAGAAGGTGAAAAAACATAACGGGACCTACAGCTCTGGAGCCACAACTAGGTTCACATCTTCACTCCATTATTTACAAGATGTGTGGTGATGGTCAATTTATTCATCCTTTTTGCACCTCCGTTTTCCCTTCTTTAACAAGGGAAAAATAAGTTGGGGGTGTGGCTCAAGTGGTAGAGTGCCTGCCTGGCAAGCGCAAGGCCCGGAGTTCAAACCCCAGTACCGAAAGTAAATAAATACTATTTTGAGATAATGCACGCAAACAGTTTACCACAGTGCCTGGCCGCGGGCTAAGCGTTGAGCACATGGAAGCTGTTACTGTTATATTCGGTACAGAAACCCCAAACAGGGTTATAACGAGGACAATTCTAAGAGAAGTACTGTAATGTGGACCTTCTGATAGCTATGCGCATGCGCTTGTTCTCGGTCGCGCCGTTAACGCGAACGCTACGCATGCGCCGGAAGTTGCAGCCCAGAATCCAGCGAGGTCGGTTCCGCCCGACTCTAACATGGCGGCGCCCTTTGTCTGCTCTGAAGTGCCGTCCCTGGCCTTCTCGCGGCAATGATGCACTTCCCTTTGCGGTGGGGTTCGGGACATGGCAGGTGAGGGTCAGCAAGCGCCGGGGACCCGGGGAATCCCAAGAGCCGGAGCGGAGCCACCGGAGGATGGGGTGCGGCGGGACGCCATGGACGGTTGTGTGGGGGAGGGGAGGGAAGTGGAATGGGACGGGATGGGGCTGAAGGGGCACCGCGGGGCAGGAAGCTGCGGGCAGCTGGGCGGGGGAAGGGGTGGGGGGCGTCGCCAGGCGAACGGGCGGTGAGTGGGCAGGCAGACCAGCTGCCTCGGTGAGGGGTCGCGAGTCACCTCCCGGGCGGGGTGACACCCCAGCTGGTAGCATCTCCGACCCCGCCCCGGGCCGTCACCGCCCCTTGACCCTCGCGCGCCGCGGCAAGTGGACGTTCTGCAGCCGGGAGGGGGCGAAGTGCGGGGGCAGCGCGCGTCGCCGGGCTGGGGTAGGAGAGCGCAGGCCTGCCCAGAGCAGGGAAGTGGCGACACTGCCCCTGTAGGGTGATTTCATTCATTCGTTGGTTCCGCAGACGGTGGCTCAGCGCCCGCTGGGTCCTCAGGATCCCCGAGTAGTGGGTAGTCATGTGCACGGTTCCCGCCTCCATGCTGTGTCCATAGGCACTTTAGGCTGTCTCTGCCTCAGTTTCCTTATCCTTAAAGCCGAGATGATCGTACGTTTGCCTAAGAGGGTTTAAAGATTAAATGAGGGAATAGGTGAAAAGTGCCCAGAACACCTACGGTTGCAGAGCGAATGCTGTGTGTTTCTGTTATTTCTCCTGGCATCACCCAGGACTCAGAGACTCCTGAGGGATACCTAGAGGCAAATAGGCCCTTCAGGTACTGCTAGGCTGGAAGAAGGACCTTCCTTGCTCTAGTAGAGGGACTTCATTCACTCTAGGTGAATCCAGGGAGGCTTCTGTTCCCCAGAAAGCTGAAGGCTAAAGGATGCTTAGGGCAGTGAGGCAGGAGTAGGGAGGCAGATTCTCAGTTAAAGAAGAGAAAGTTCAGTCTCTTTACCTGAGAGGGATGGGGAGATAAAGCCATGGAAGCAGGCTCTGTCTTAAGTCTTAGGGGAGGCCTTGTAAACCTAGTTTTGGGCTGTAAATTTTAGGTTGATGGGATGGCATTTAAGAGTCAGATTTGTGGACTAGAAAGATCACTGGCCATGTTGAAGAACGTATTCAAAGGAATGAGCCTGGAAGCCACTTAAGATGCTGCCTGACTAATCCAGTTGAGAAATGAGGGTGGCCTTGAGTTAAGTTGAGAAGCAGAAAGTGGAGAGTGAAGGTTTTGGAGGTAGAATTGACAAAGTGTAGTGGTTACTTGGATGAGAGAGCTAGGGCAGAGAGGAGTCAGGATTGTCCCCAAGTTCTTGACTGGTGGATGTTGATACTGCCCATTGTGATTCGAACAGGACAAGGAGTGGTTTTAACCAAAAGAGAAATGTAGGTTTGGAACTGTTGGAATTAAGTGCCTAAAAACATTTAAGTGAAGCTGTTGCATGGTGATCTTACAGCAGTTGTCCACCAAAGGCCACTAAAGTTGGGGAAGGGATGAGCTCACCTAGCATAGAGGTATGAAATGAGTAAGCCAGGTGTCCAGGACATCTGCCTGTGCTGCAGTAATGCCAAGCACAGCTGTGCTGGTTTTGCCTATCAGCATTGTATTATGTCTTTAATCAAGCAGGAGTTCCTGGTGTGGGGACTAAGACAGTTTATTCATCCTTGTGTCCCATGACTGGTACATTGTCACGCAGCAGGCCAAAAATAACCCAATCTAACATTTATTGAGCACTGCCTTTGTGTCAGGCTCTGTGCCAAACACTCTGCATTTGCCTTTGTTTGATGGATGAATGAAAGAGCAGCCCTTCAGGAGCCAAGCACATAACCTTCATGTTCTCATCAGATTTTCCACTTGGGTGTCTTTGATTCAGGTAATGAGCTGCAGGAGGGGAGCGAAGCTGAAGTTTACGCAGACAAACTGTCAGAAAAGAGTAGCCCGGGCTATTTGGAAATCTGAGGTATGTATATTCAAGGATGAAACCAACCAGGAAATGAGTTTTGTATTACATTCTCTAGGCGCAGCATGGTTCAGATTACCTTTGTGTGTGTGTGTGTGTGTGTGTGTGTGTGTGTGTGTGTGGCACTGGGGATTGAACTCAGAGCCTCACACTTGCTAGCCAAGAGCTGTAGCACTTGAGCCACTCCCCCAGTCCTTCTGCTTTTCAGTTTGTTTTTCAGATAGAGTCTCAAGCTAACTTTGCTGGGACTGTCCTCCAACCAGGATCCTCCTCCTTCTGTCTCCTAAGTAGCTAGGATTACAGGCATGTACCATGTACAACAATACCTAGCTTCAAATTACCCTTTCAAGATAGTTTTTCCTTTAAAATTAGTAATGACAGAGTCCTTGTTACAGAGTGGTTCAGAAATTGTTGGTACTACTGGTTTTTTGGGTTTTTTTTTTTGCCAACAAAGAGTGGAGGTTTTACTGGGTGATACTCACACCTTGATACCCACAACTTGGGGGTTGTACTGGAGTTTGAACTCTGGGCTTCATGCTTGTAAAGCAAGTACTCTACTGCGTGAGCCACACCTCCAGTCCACTTTGTTCTAGTTAGTTTGGAGATGGGGTCTCATAAACTGTTTGCTTGGACTGGCCTCAAACCATGAGCTTCTTCATCTCAGCCTCTCATATGGGTGTGAGCCACTGGCTTCACACCTTGTTTTAATTAGTTACAATTTAAAATGCCTGAGAGTAGCTTAGTGGTAGAGCACTTGCTTAGCATTTGCAATTTCCCCAACACTGCAAATTAATTAAATAAAATCTCCAACAAAACTATCCCAAATATAGAAACAAAATAGAAATTTATTCTTCACCCCTTAATAGTCTGGAAGTAAGCAGTTCATGAGGTCCATCTGGGAACAGGATTTCTTTGATCACATTGCTCTCCTTGTTCAAACCCAGGAGTCCATCTCATGGTCCAAACTGGCTGTTCCAGCTCCTGCCATCATGTATGAACTCCACCTGGCAAAAAGGGAAATACAGAGCAGAAAGCACATGCTCATTCCTTATAAGGTTTCTAAGGTTTAGAGAGATGTATTTGTGTATCACATGTTCCCCAAACATAAGCCAGCTGTTGCAAATGCTATGCACTCAAAGAATGAGTCATGCTGATTCCAGTGCTGGAGGAAAAAACTGGCTCAGAGAACCTGCTCTGTCCCCAGAGTGATGGGATCACTGAGATGGGGCTTGGTCCTGGCCTGAAGGCAAGTTTACTGAACTGGTGGGGAAGGGCTGTCACACATAGCTGCGTGCTAGCAATACAGACATGTAAGACTGGATCCTGGAAGTAAGGTGCTCCTAGCCACATGGATAACCACATGCGAGGCAAAAATGCCATCAAGGTTTGGTGGAGTACAAGAGTGCACAAGAGGCCTGATTGACGTTGGAGGGATATACTGAGGTGGTTAAGATTGAGAGCGAAGGACGCACCCTCAGATAGATATGGGCAGTGAGGACTTGAGCCAGGTGTGAATCCTTGCTGCCCTCACTAGTGGCTGTGGGTCCCATGGGATGATTACATGGTTGCTGAGCCTCAGTTTCCTCATCTGTAGGGATAACGGTATATACCTTACAGAAGTGTGTTGAGTATTAGGTGTGATCAGGCAGTAATTCACAGGGTCTGCTGTGTGTTGGCACTTATTAAATGCCAGCTGCCTCCTGCTGCAAAGGAGCAGGATGGCCAAAGCCAGGTACAACTGTAATTGAGGAGGTCCCAAATCTGTGGGCCTTCCTCCCCCTCCCAGAGTACTTGGTTGCCTTTCCAGAGAGGCAGGTGCATAGGAAGACCCTGTTCACAGTTGACATCTCCGGCTGTTGCACATGCATGGGCCTTTCAGGCAGGTGGCCTGGGTGGCCCATTTAGTATGCAGGGTCTTTTTGTTTTGTTTTTGGTGGTACTGGGGTTTGAATTCAGGGCTTCACGCTTGGTAGGGAGGCACTCTACCACTTGAGCCACTCCTGTCCTTGGGTAGCCCATTTAGAAGGTTGTAAGGGCAGCCTCGAAGGGGAGCTGTAGGAGTCCAGTGGGTGCCTGGACAAGACCAAGTGGCCCATTCCCAACAGGGATTTCCCCGAGGGACAGTGTCTGCATGGCCGGCACAGGGGTAAGTACACATTGTTGGGTATTGTTCATCTTTAGAGAAAATGAAAAACTTCAAAAGTGTTTTATGCACAAGCACATTGCTCTGGAGGTCATCATCTGTATGTTTTGCTATCCATAATTTTTTTTTTTTTTTTTTTGGTGGCACTGGGGTTTGAACTTAGGGCGTCACACTTGCTAGGCAGGAGCTCTTACCACTTGAGCCACTCCACCAGCCCAATGGCCACAGTTTTTAAGTGATTGAAGTGGTGGAGGTCAAAGAGTAAGCCTTTTGGCATGAAATCATTTCCGAATGTTCAGCAAGTGTGTGTGGCATGTTAGCATGTGGGCTTTGCACTCTCAGAGCTTCTGGTTGGCATCCATAGTTAACGTCCCAGGGCGAATTTAGGTTGACCTCAGTAATGTCGTCAGCTTAGACATGAGAAAACAGAGGCTTGGGGCTCCCAGATTCAAATGCACTTGTTATGCATTGGTGACACTTGGTTCTTCGGGCCTGAGCTTAAAGGCAGAAAGGAGGCAAAGGGCATAGTTAGATCAGGAATTGTTCACTTGTGTCTAAACAGCTGTGTGGACAGAAGCTCAGAGGTAGAAATCCATCTGAGAGTGAGGAGCAGGTCACAAAGCAGGCCTGGTGTGCTCATTATAACATCAAGTATATACTCACCTTCTGGTCCTGAAAGGTCTGGAGTACTGCCCACTCCACCCGCAATGCTTCCAAAACTGGAGCTATTACTCTGACAAATCACTTTTCTGTCTTGGATGGAAGGCTCTACTCCAGGTTCAAAGTCCTTCCAGTAGGAAGCCAGAGCTCAGAGAAGAGAGCACATCTCACTTTAGTGGTCTTGGGATCCCTTGCAGGGACTTTCCCTGTTTACTCAGTCAGTTGCCTGTTATGCTTCAAAACATTGTTTAAAGCCAGGAGTGGTGTCTCATGCCTGTAATCCCAGCTACCCAGAAGGCATAGGTAGGAAGGTTGAGTCTGAGTCTGACACTGGGCAAAAGAGATCAAAGAGTAACTAAAGCAAAAAGGGCTTGCTTTAGTGTGGCTCAAGTGGTAGAGCACCTGCCTAGCAAGCTCAAGGCCCTGAGTTCAAACCCCAGTGCTGCCAAAAAAGAATTGTTTAATTTATAAATTGCTTTTTTGCTAAATGCTGAGTAGATACAAAAGGATATGTTCACTAGAGAGAATAAGAGTAAAAGGGAACACTCTCCTCCTCATCACTCATTTTACAAAAAAGAATGTTAACATGACTCCCCTGTGTGCCACAGGGTACTTCTTTTTAAGAACTTCCATGATTGCCTACATAGTCTTCCAAACATTTTATTTTGCCTTTTATCTCAAGGTTTTTAATTCATTTATAGTTATTTTAATGTATGGTATGAGAATGTGCCAAATTATCTAGTACTAATTATCAAAAAACTACATCCCTTTCTTGCAGACTTGTAGACATCACCAGCAACCATTGTTGTATATCAAATGTCCACAGATGTGTGATTCTGTCTATAGACTCTTTACTCTCTGCTCTGTGTCTGTGGCAGACACAGACTTTATTATAATTTTATAATAACTCTGTGGTATTTGATAAGACCTTGTCCTTTTGCTTACCCATCTTCATTTTATTTGTCTGTCTATCTATCTATCATCTATTTATTGTGGATACTCGGAGCCCAGGGCCTCTCACATGCTAGGCAAATATTTACCACTTGAGCTACATCCCAGCCTGCTCATCTTTATTTTAGATCATTCTTGTCAAATGCCATGAATGTTGTTAAATGTTTAATTAGAATTGCCTTGAATTCATTACATTTCAATTTACATGGACTTTTTTTTTTTTTTTTTTTAGCAGTACTAGGGTTTGAACTTACAGACTTGCAGTGCCCCCACCCTGCCCTTTTTCCTTTAGTTTGTTTTTCAGATAGGGTTGGTGCTTTTACTCTGGACAGCCTCAAACTGAGATCCACCCATTCTCCACCTCTCAAATGGGATTATAGGAGTGAGCCACTATGCCTGGCCTTTTGTGTGTGTGTGTGATAGTGTTTCCCTTTATTGCTGAGGCCTGTCTCAAAATGTTGGGCTCAACCAGTCTTCCCACCTCAGCTTCTGCGACAGCTAGTACTGCAGACACTTGCCAACTCTTCGGGCTCCAACTTGACATTTTCTGATATATGAATATGGCATATCTTTGATTTATATAACTTGCCACAGCCTAATTTTAGTCATCATCCTTGCACGTTATATTCAGTTAGGGACCTTAGAGCATCTTATTTTTGTTTTTATTTTTTTGGACAGGGTCTCACTATGTGGCCCGGGCTGGCCCGGGCCAGCCTCCCGAGTGCTGGGACTACAGGTACGCCTCACCACACCCTGCTCTACAACCTTTTAATTCCTATCACCCCTTCCTTTGCTTTTATTCTGTAGGTGTGTATTTTAGTTCTATTAAAAGTTTACAAGGCATCACTAGTTCTGTGTTTGTTTAGAGTTACTACTTTCATAAATCCTCATTCCTTCTTGCATGCTTTGTTTTCCTTCTGGGATCACTTTTCATCTGCCTGAAGAATTATCTTTTATAATGTATGAATTCGGGCTCTAATGATTACACATTCTTGGGGATGTTTTCTCCTTCCTCCATTCAGTGCCAGGATTTGATACAGGCAATTTTCTGCACAGTCTTCTTGCCACTGAGCTCCTGTGAAACCTCCATCCTGGCAGGCAGGGTACCCAAGCTTGCTCATTTCTGCAGATGCCCTTGATTCCCAGCCTCCCAGCTCCAGTCCTCTCTGGATGCCAGCCCGTGTTTAGTTTAGTTTTGACCTTTACTACTTACAGACTTTTCAGTTCTTTGATGCATTTTAAAACA